AGCATTGATACCGGGATCGTAGATATCCCTAGCATCCCATGAACTGGTTTGCACATGACCCAAAATCGAGTTGGTTCACAATCTAAATCGCTCAAAGTCCTAATCCCAAATTATAACTCAAACTGTAAATTGATTCAAGGTGTAAGTAATCTTACATCATAATTCCAACCCCAAATCATACCTCAAACTTATTATTTCTTTATTTTGATTTGATGTTCTTTAAACTCATATTTTGACGAAATTTGTCAAAAATATAAAATAAATATTTATTAATTACGTGTATTCAGATATATTATTCTATATAGAAGTTACAAAACAAACCACAATTCAGAATAGCATACCAACTAGGCCTACTCTCACTGTGCCATGTATTAAAAAAAGTATCGTATCACTTATCAAATCGATCCACGATTCAGGTAACATTGGTCTAGGGTCAATTATGATGAGATCGTGTCTAGGAGGAATGGTGAGGGTGATGTGAGTGTATTATGAAGATTATTAGTTGAAAAATGAGGTATCTGAGATTAAAAAGTAAGTGGAGTTCGATAAAAGATGTAATTATTAAAGTGTCTAGATGAGGTTATTTTGCAAGAATTAAGGAGGGAAATGATTGAGAGAATATTGATAAAGAGTGTGTGGCATTCTAAATTTAGGAATTGTTTATTTATCGTCGGTTGGTAGGTCAGGTGGTATTGTGATCATATTGAATGAGAGGACCATTACAATGGAGGAGTCAGTAGAGGAAGAGTTTGCAATTTCGGTTAGGATTAAGTCTATTGATGGATTTGAGTGGAGGTTAATTAGGGGTTATAGTCTAAATTGGCCTTGGGAAGGGGTAGACTTGGAAGGAATTGACAAGGTTATCTGGTTTATGCAGTCCTAGTTGGTGTGCGAGTGGAGATTTTAATATCATTAGGTATTTTTACAAAAAATTAAATGAAAGGAGGGTGACTAAGAGTATAGGGACTTTGATGCTTTCATAAGGGAAGCTAGGCTAAAGGATTCTCTATTGGGTAATGGTACTTTCATTTGGTCAGAGTTTGGAGATAACCCAGCTTGTAATAAATTGGATATATTTTTTTTTCTAATAAGTGAGGATTGGTATCTTGGAGTTTGACGGGAGATTTTGTCTAGGGTATTGTCAAGTCATTGTCCCATTGCTCTCGAATCATCATTGATCAAATGGGGTCTTTATCTTTTTAGGTTTGATAATCAATGGTTAGAATACCATGCATTTTGAGGATAATTTAAGGAGTTGTAGAGGGAAGGAAGTTTTTTGGGTTGGGAAGATTATAACTTCAAGAAGAAGTTGGAATATGTGAAATAGAAGGTGAAAAGTTGGAATAAAGAAGTGTTTGAGGATATAAGAGTCACAAACAAATAATCATTAATAGAATTAGAGATATTGATAAGATTAAAGTGAATGGTAAATTAGTCGAGGATTTGAAAAGGGGGAGATGTGAGTTAAGGAATAAGTTTAAGGAGGTGGTGTTTAAGGAAGAAATTAACTGCAAGCAAAAGACTAGGGTGAAGTGACTGAAAGAAAGAAATAATAAATCTAAACTTTTTCGCATGATTGCAAATGGTAAAAAAGAAGAAATTTATTGGCACAATGAAATTGAAAGATGGAGGGGTCATTGGGGATGAAGGAATGATTGAGAGTAAAGTTGTTGAGTTCTTTGCCTAATTATATTCATCTCAGAGGGGTGTTAAACCAATAATAGAAATGTTGAGGTGGAGTCCTATTGAGGAGGGTAAATTTAGGTGAATGGAAATACCTTTTGTGGAAGAAGAAGTGCGAAAGGGCTATTTTTAAGTGTGAGAAAGACAAAGCTCTAGGTCCTAATGATTTCACCATGTTTATTTTTTAGGATTGTTGGAATATGAATTTGATGAAAGTTTTCAATGAATTATGGAGTTGTTAATGCAATCACTAGTTTTATCATTATTTGGTTGATTCCTATTAGAGTTCTTATTTTTCAATATTAGTCATAACTAATGAGTGTTTTCCCACTATAAATAAGTGTCTATTGGGCAACGCAGCTAATACACTGATCATTCCTCTCAATCTCTCTTCTCACTTCTACTTTCTTAGATAAACCCTAAAATCAAGTTTACCATTTAACTTGGTATTACAACAAATTTCTTAGCAAATAATCACAAGAGCAACTCAGTTCAAACAATCAAAAGACTTTTTGGGAGTTGTCATCATCACTAGAGAAATGTTGGCTTCGGTGACTATAATCCTTGTATAACACAAGTTTGTGCCTTGGTAATTATGGTGAGTTTTTTTAAAATATTTGAGGTCATCTGAATGGGTTTTCGAATTTTTGAATGTTTTTTTGGATTTTTTTTTTTGTGCCAATTGCAATATCTTCACTAGAAGACTTGGGGCTTTTCGATGTTTGATTCCACGACAAAGGGGTTCGACTAACTCTCTAGAGGGGGTTTGTGCTTAACCAATTACACTTTGGGTTGTTTTCTGGAAGCAGTCGTGAGACTCAATGTCGGCATCATTGGGCTTCTGTCCAACCTTCATAGGTACTAGTTGTGATCTTTTATTGCTTCTAGGTGTGTGTTTTGGACAAGATTTGTGGTCGTTAGCCTCCTCTTGCTTGTTTTTGGACCAGTCTGGGCTGTTTTTTGGGCATTTTCTATGATCTTTCCTCTGTGTAGTGTGTGTTGTTGTTTATTGGTAGGTTATTGGTCCCTTAATTTCCTACTACTTTGTAGTTTTCCCTTGAGTTTTATTATGGAAACTTTGGAAGAGGTAAAGGAAACTACGGTGCATGATTTGATTAGACAAATTACTTCCATGAAATTAAATGGAAGCAACTATTATTCTTGGTCTCATGCAATTGAAGTTTTCCTACTGACCCAAAAGAAAGTCAAGTATTTGACTAAAAGTCCTCCTTCTAAGGACTCAAAAAAATTTAAAAACTGCTAGAGTGAAAATTTTTTGGTGATGATTTGATTGTGGCTTAGTATGAAACTATCTATACAGCTAAGAATATCTAGGATTCTCTTGAGGAGGTACTCTCAAAAACAAAATGTGTCTCAGATTTATGAGTTTTTGCGCTTATGTTTAATACCAAGGAAGGTAATAAATCTCTTGTTGGCATTATGGAACTTTGAAAGGGTGTGGGAAGAATTAATGCTTTATCAGCCACTAAGTGCAAATCTGGAGATACAGAGATGACAGTGTGCTGGGTTTCAGGTGGTTTTGCTCTTATCTAGCCTTAACTCATCAGATTTTGGCCAGTAAGACTCTCCCACTACTGCAAATGCTTACTTTCACCTCCTGCACGCTTCTTTTACTTGTGGGACTTTTTTAGTTTCTCAAGAAAATCCTCTACCTTAATTTGTAGTGATGGTGGTGGTGGTTCCTCATGTTGGTCATAATAGTGGTAGTGGTGGTTCCTTTGGTTTTCGTAGGAGTTTAGCATGATAGGGACTATATGGAGATGATGTCACTTCTTGATAGTCTTTTTAGTTCCTTGTTGAATCCCGAGCCATGTGATCGAAGAAGATGAGTTCTTGAGTTTTCGGATGTATTCTATGGTAAATCCTTTTTGGATTCTTTGTTGGATGCATCTTCTTATCTTATCTTTAATCTTGCCTTAATAATTTGGAAGGATAAAGTGCCTATTAAGGGACAAGTTTTTCATTGATTATTGCACGTTATGATTAATACCAGTGATATGCTTCTCGTACTTGCATTTCTTCCCATGGTGTGTGATGAGTATTGATCTTTTTGGTATAATTTGTATAGCTTGGCATGTTTGAGTGGGGGGATTCCCAAATCACCTACTTCGTTATTTGTTGAAGATTTGAAGGGGTTTGGGAGACATGATAAAGGAGTGGCGCTTTGGAAATGTGCTATTATTGCTACTTTTGGGGTCATTTGGATGGAAAGAAATGCAAAAAAAATTGAAGATTGAAGTGAAATGTTAGAAGTGTTATGGGACATTCATTTCATTGCTTCATTTTGGGTTTCAATTTCTAAGGACTTTAATGGGATCCCACTCTTGGCTATTTTGGCAGGATAACAAGCTTCATGTGATTTATAACTTTAATGTATTTCTTGTTTTATATTTCTATTTTTCTCGGTTGGATTTCTTATCTAACCTTTTTCTAGTGTATTTTCCATACTTTGTTAATATCTTTCTATTACTTTCCCTATTAAAAAAAGGAGGAATTAGTAATAAATTAGAAGTCTGGAGAGAGACTTTAGAATCAAAAGGATTTAAGACAAGTAGGTCCAAAATTGAATATATGGAATGTAACTTTAATAAAAGGAGAAATTCAAATCGGGAATTTGTAAAGATTGAAGATCAAGAGATATGGAATAATTAATACTTTCGATATTCAGGGTTAATTTTCCAGTGGAGTGTGAGATTAGTGACGATGGTACTCATAGAATTAAAGCAAGATGGACTAAATGGAAGAATGCATCCAATTTATTTTGTGATAGTCATATGTATACCCCTTAGGCTGAAAGGAAAGTTCTATAAAATGGTCATACGATTGGCTATGTTTTATGAAAACGAGTATTGGGCAATGAAAAAACATGTCCAAAAATTTGGCAATGACAAAAATGAGAATGTTAAAATGGATGTATTGCAAAACTAGGAATGATAGAATTAGAAACAAGACTATCTGTGAAAATTATTGCTAACACATATAAGAGATTAAATATGGAGAATTGACTTAGATAGATTGGACGTATTTGTAGACAGCATAGTGAGAAAAAGTGATGATTTAGCTATTGATGGTAACAGAAGAGGTAGAGGAACACCAAAATTAACTCTAAATGAAATGGTAAAAAAATGTATGATAGCTTATGATTCAATAGTCAATATTGCTCTTAATAGATCACAATGGCGAAACAAGATTCATGTAACTGGCCCCAAAAATATTGTAACAATGTTTTTTTGAGTTGAGTTGAGCTTTGATGTACTGTGGAGAGTAAATTCACAAAAAATAGGAAGGATGAGTCTATGTCTGTAGAAGCAAGCCATATAAGTAAAGAATTGCAAGATAGGTTGCTGATCCTGTTCTTGATTTCTCAGTTTTTTAATTTGGAACGGTAGGCAAATGCTGAATACCTAGAGTAACAGGACATGCTGAACCAAAATGGGGCTGCTGAATTTTTTCTGTCCTTTCATCACCCATTACTTTTGATATGACATTGAGTTATATGACAAATTGACGACAATTCCCACTCAAAGCTCTTGATGATAGGTACAGTTTAACTGTTGCTGAATTTCAACGGAGCTATAAATGGGTTATGCTCTCTTGAAACCTGCTTCCTCTGCATTGGCAGCCACCTTTGGGGTCATATGCACATTAACAATCTGAAGAGGGGTAATATGATGTGTGTGTAGAAATCCTAAGGAATTTGGTCAGTCATTTGCTCATACTTTGGTAGGTGGCATGGCATGGGCGGGTAAAGCCGGGCTTTACTGGGTAGTTGATAAAGGGTCCTGAATTAGAAAACAGGTGCAAAAACAATAGGGGTCGTCCCATCATATTTACAATATGAACATCAATCTACCAAATAAAGTATCCGAGGCACTTTGGTTGCTCTGTAAGAACTGCTTGTGACTTGTAATTCTCATAATCTGCGAGTGCATCTTTCAAGTTTGAGTCCCAACTTACATAAAAGTTTTCCAACCTATATTTTATGGGTTTCCTTTCAATGTAGAATAAGAAGGAAACTTCCAATATTTATTTGCTTGCAATTTATCGTTCTCGTCTAGTGTTAGCTTGAGTGCCACTTTAAGCTCTCCTACTATCCTTAAAGGGGGAGGTGCACGGCTCAGTTATGGATGGTAAGGATCAAAATTTTGTTTCGGTGTATTGTTTTGGTCACCTAGGAAACGAAAACGTTTCGACCAGTTTTGGAAACATAATAAAAAATTTAAAAATTATTTTTTTAAAACATTAGTTGAAATATGTCAAAGTATTTTAAAACATTTCGAAACAATTGTGTAAATGAATTAAAACATTATAAATTACCTCGAAATATTATAAAATACCTCGAAGTATTATAATTTCGATTCCATCACTGATTGGTTTCGGTCTCCCTATAAATGAATATGGTTGGGACGTTTCGACTGTTTAATGAAATTTTGATCCTTGGTTATGGGTTAACACATCAGTGCAAGTGTGTGCAATATTATGATAGACAAGAAATAAACAAGGGATTTGGTCTTATGAGTCACCACGGAAGGCAGGCCAACTGAGTAGTAGGAGTGGAGACGTTAATATATAAAGAACTTCTGGTAAAAGAGTTAAATAGCCTCAAATGTTTAATTGCACCCACAAAATGTAAATAGACCCAACTAAAAAAAAGAGAATGGGCGTTATCATCTCCATAGAATGCATTGTGCTATTATGTTTTAACGGTCAATATACTCAAGGATGATGGTATGCATCTCCATTATATGTGTTGTATATGATACTATTATACTCTTTACATTTGACTTTGATAGCGGGGTTATCGAGTATCAAACTTCGGCTTTGGTGAGAACATAATTTCAAAAAAGCATTAGTCGTGCTATCTTTACTAGTTAAATTTAATTTGTGAATCAGAAGCTAACATTTTGTTACTGTGATACTACAGATTTGTGAATAATGAAATTATGCAAGTAGTAAATTATCAAACCCTCTCTCCGAAGGATTTGGCCAAGTCTGTTATGTCTGAAGGGGGCTGGTCAAGCGTACTGGTATATTGGGTTACTTCACTGTGACAATTGACTGCATTGTTTACTCTTCCTTTTGCAACCCCCCCCCCCCCCCCTAAAATCCCCCTACCAAAAAAATAAAATAATATTGCTTCATTTTTTTTTTGGCAAACTGGAAAGGTAACGATATAAGTAGTAGTTTTACGATGGTCTTCAAGCACTTATAGTCACTGCATTTGTTCAGTGCTCGGGGGAGAAAGCACAGCAGTCTTTGGATCTTGCGCTTCTTTTTGTTGGAAGAGAGGTAGGAGTTTTCATACCACTATTAAATAAAAGAATGATTGAAGAAAGTGTTAATTCTATGTCTTTATGCTATCCTTTCTTCCCCATACTGTATTCTCATGTCTGGTAACTGTCACTTGATCTTTTTCATTATACTCACTGAAGGGATCGTAACCAGATTCTAGGTCTGATAAGTTTATGTGCTTCTTCATATGGTCTTAAACCCGAGTTTTATGAATAAAGTAGTGCGCAATTATTTGTGTTTAGTTGCATTTCTTAGACAGTTTGATTAATGGACACTTACCAACATGGTAATCCAAAATGCCTAAGTATTATATTTGAGAGCAAATAGATGTAATGGTTTCATGAAAACTTCCCATGAACAACAAATTTCTTTGCCTTGTATGGCTTGATTCTTGAAGAGGAGTCAACACAAGTGTAATTTATTGTAGTGTGAATTGTCTTCAAGAGGAGTTTACCCTTCTATTGCTAGTCCTCCTACTGATTACTGATAAGGTACTATTTTCACCTGTAGTTACAATCTCTGGATATCTCTGGACATAAAGTTGCCAACCCAGCACTTGTTGACTTGCTCAAGGTAGTTTGATATGCTGCTTGTTACCACTTCATGAATATAACATATGGTTAGGATTTCAAACTGTTACATTGGCTTTTCCTCATGGTCATCATTCCATTCCCCTGTGACAGGTCTCTTTCACAAGGGCCAATTTTTCTTTAGCATTCCCATATGTTGCTGCATTGGAGGAGACAGAGACAATGGAACATTCTCTAATTTCAGAGTTTGCAGAAACATGTGGCCATGATTTAGGAGTTGGTAACATTGCCTTCCTGGAGTCTTGCCTTGTAGAGGGTGAAAATTTTGAAAAACTTGCAGGCTTACACTCTGTCCATGTAAATATACTCAGTGGTGTGATATAATTTATGGTCAAATTCAAATTGTCTAAGGAGAAGATCTTATGCATTTTTTTCTTACTGGAAAAATCAACAGGATTACCTGGTTACAAGGATGAAAAGAGGACCTAAGGGGCATGCAAATCTAATTGTGTTCTGCCATGGAGGCTCCCATTCTTTGGAAGAACTTGATCAACCACATTCTGAGAGTATGTTAAAAAATTTAGGAGAGTTTGTAGTTATCTCAATTTTAAAATTCTTTGATGGGCACCAGTTATTTTTGCATAGCAATTTTAATGCATCTAGTTTGATCGAATATGCAGGCAGGATGTTCTCTGAGCTTATCAACTCTGTGGAGCAGTCTGGGGCCAAATATTCTGTTCTCTATGTTTCAGATCCATTTAGGTCAATCCGGTATCCTTCTTACAGGAAGCTAGAAAGGTTTCTTGCTGAAGGAACTCTTGGAAATGGGTCAGCTAATTCCACGACCTGTGATGAAGTTTGCCAAATTAAATCCTCCCTTCTGGAGGGAATTTTAGTAGTAAGTCAGTATCCTTTTCCTTTTTAAGCATGCAGTGCAGTGGCAGCTCTTTTCTTTGTTGATTAATCTTGATTATGTGAGCATCACAATTCATTTTGGGTCATTCAGGTAAGCGGTGACCCTCATTTTGGAAATCTTAGATATTCTTCATCCAAGTTGACTTATAATGTTGTGAATTCTATTCAGAACTTGGGTTTCACATGAACTGAACTGTTCATGAATAGCTCAGGATCAGCTCATAAGGAGCTTGTTCAACTTTGCCTATTTATTGAGCCGAGCTTGAGCCTCATTTTAGAGCTCATAAGACAAACGAGTCAAACTTGAACAATGTCCTGTTTAGCTCGTCAGGCTCGTGAACAGTATGAGCTCATTTATAAATTATAATCTAAAATTATATATATGGCGTCTGCCTATATTGTGTAATGTGTATCATTTATTTTAAGAAAGAGGAGCAATATATGCTCATGCAATAGAAATGCTAAAAAACCAACTCATCCCACATCGAAATAGTTGTAAAAAAGACGAGTGGGGCCCCTATAAAAGTTGTAAGCATTCACACCTCTGTTTCAAGTGGGAACCAGCTCCACATCAAAACTATAGCAAAAAGTAGCTGGAGGCACCTAGAAAAACAAGGCCTTCGATTCCCTGATGCATATTAAAAATTCCGTACAGAATAATTTTTTCACTTTATTCTTAAATTTCATGGTACATGGATAATAGCTAATAAACAGGAGCAGAATCTACGAGTTGCGCATAATAGAGGTGCTAAGCCTAAGAATTGGAATATAAATTGCATAAACATGCTTCTGATCAAATGTTGCATGAATTATGCATTTAAATTTCTGATGAGATTACAAGCCAAAAAATATCCAATGAGATGATCTGGATAGAGTCATCAGATTTATCTGGTGACAGCTATGTTGCATGGTTCTTCGTACTTCTTTTTCTAGTATAAAATGAAGGTAAACAAGAAAGAAAAAGTTGGTCAATTAGCATCCTCAAAGCTAATCAAAGAGCTGGAAGTTTCCTTTTGGTACCCGCAACCAGACCCGAAGTCATGGAAAGATCAAAACCAATGCAATGATAATATGATTTGATAGAGCCATGCGACTTGGGTTACCAAAAGTGCCATTATTGATGCTAAGCTGTTTCTTTTTTTTTTTTTTTCGAAGAAGTGTTCAGCGAATTTAGAGAAAAGCACTAAAAAAGAGTACTGTGCTATACTGGCAGAGCTTCAGCAAAACGAGGTAGGTAGCTTTCGCTAAGGATTGATGGGTTTGGGGATTAGGTCTTCTAATTAATGGTACTCCAAATGCGGGGGTCAAAAAGTTTTATAAAAAATTCTTGGTGGAAAAAAATTAGAGGTGTTTTTTTCATAAACCTTTACTTTTATCATTCAGAAAACATGAATATGAGAGAAATAAAAACAAACATGTGAACTTGTAGAACTATTCTATGGAGCTCATCAAAAAAATATGTGAAGTCAATGCATCCAAAAGTTGTCCTGTGCCATTATAACAACTGAATTTCCCCATCACTATTGGAGCTAATCATACTGACTGGCTTTATGTCAAGTTGTTCAACTTATCTAATTCCACTGTAATAAACAAAACTGGACGTTGGGATTCCAATAAGTTTGGTAAATTGGGAATTCTCATTTGTGGGAATTGAAGCATCTGACTAGCTAGTGGTAGATAACTTGAATGGCCTGAATGCCAACAGAACAGTCTAGTACGAACAGACACTCACATACTTCCGCACGCTCACAAACAATATACTCACCAAGTCAGTGCTTTGTCTCACATTGTTGATTTCAACCCTGTGTTAACACCAAGCTATGGTTAAGACTGGTTGGGTTGAAAGCCTGTGTTGTTACCTGGTTGCAGTTAAGACTTAGGTTGGATGACTTGTCCTCCCTTTTTTACTTTTTATATCATGCCCTTGTCATTAACAAACCGATTGTTTCTTATCAAGAAAAGGACTTCAGTTGGAAGGTGTGCAAGTAGTAGGAAGAAATGGAACAAGGGTGGGTGTGGTTATTCTTTACCTTTCTTGCACCCTAATAGTTATGTTATTTGCATATTTGTTACCAGTCATATTTCCCTACTGATCTTATCCTCTCAACAATAGTTCTTTGGTCTTTTTATTGCTTCGATTTAGATATCTTTGATGGCAAATTGGCTTGAGTTGAGGTGCACAAACCATTAGCATCAGAATCTTAAAGTTGATTGATGATGCAGTTGAGTCTACTAACATCGTGAAGGGTTTCCAGATATTGACAGCCCAGAGATTAGGAATCTAATTACTTGTGAACTCTCATCCAATTCTTAACATTAGTAAGTCTTTTCCTTTGTTAATTAGAGGTTTGCATTTGGAGCCTTGATGCAGGGGCATTGTTTGAGGTGGTTAGAGAATGTGAAACATAATCAAGAACTGTGCATTGTTTTATATAAAAGCATATAACCACATGATTTGCCAGAATATATTCATTGAGTTACATTTGAAACTTGATGGTATGTTGTGCACTGATGTGATTATGAATCTGCTGATCATTTCTTTTTACATTGCTCTATTGCGAAATCACTTTGGCAGAAATCCATGAATTTGGCTTGTTTGTGCTAGGTGTCCCCTCTTCAATTAGTGCAATGTTTGCGGTTGAAATTTGGGGTCATATGGTTAGAAAGGAATATGACGATTTTTTAGGAGAGTGTGTGAATTGACTAACGATTGTGGCAGAGGATTTACTTGTTGCCTGTTTTTGGGATTTGGCTTTGAAGGGATTTATGCATATTCAATTTTGTATTCTTGGGGAATGGAGTGTTGTGTGTGCTTCATAGATGGTTTCATTTGTTATTATTTTTGCTCTCCTCCTCTTTCTTTGGCATGTGGGTTGGACTTCTTGTCCACCACCATGCTGATTTTTATTCGTTGCTTACCGAAAAAAGGAACGTGCCTGAAGTCTCTATTCTGCTGACTCCCTTGGGATCCTTTATTTTTAAGAAATATATTTTCAGCTTCACCTACCCAAATATATGATCTGTATAAAATTCTCATATTGTTGCTTTGTATGATGTTTTCAGGGGATTGTTCTACTGATAATTTTAATATCGGGCCTTTGTTGCATGATGGGTATCGACACTCCAACAAGGTTTGAGACTCCCCAAGATTCTTGATCTATGGCTCTGCAAGTATAAATTTTCAGTTTTGGCGCTGGTCACATCAGCTGTTCAACATTTAGTTTCTGTGCTAGATATAACTTTTTAATATTGGCTTACTCATGAAAGTTACTTTATCGTGTACTTGTTTAATGGTGGAGCTTGATATTTTGACCCCATGATATTCATTTTTATTTTCTCTTTGTATATTTTTGAGGTGGAATATGACATGTTACTCGTATTGATTTGATTGTCGGCCTTGGTGTATCATTCCTGATTGATTTACATATCTAGATCCTTTGTTTTTTTTCAACAAAATAAATAAATGAAATTAGTAAGGTAATTAGGTGGCATTTGGGATGGTTTTTGAAATTCAATAAAACATTTATGAAATGAGTACTAACAAAAAAGTACTTTATAGAGAAGCATTTTCATAGAGCAAGTGTTGTTTATGTCCACCAAAAAGTGCTTAGATGAAAACGTTATATAAAGTGTGCTCAAATGTTCAACAAAAAAATTCTTCGTTATAGTATAGATATATCTCCAAATGCCAAAAATGCGTGTGTTGGTGGTGGTGGTGGTGGTGGAGACAACTATATTGGCTGGGGTGGCAGGGGCGGTAATAATGGTTAAATGGTATGGTAGGGTTAATGCTGGATATAAATTAAGAAGTGTTGTGTATGATACGAGTGTTATTAAGGAATTATAATTTTTTTTTTGATATTTTTAATAAATCTCAACTTGATCAAAAATATTTCAAAAAAAAGGTATTCCAAACACCAATACCTTTGTTTAAAGTGGTTATAATAAGTCATAAATCAAAAAAAAAAAAAAAGTAAAGCTAGACTGATCAAAAAGGGGACCAAAAATAAGGATAAAATGTTGTGGTATTACAATAAAACCAACAACATCATTATAATAATGTCATAGCATTTGATTTACATTTTTTTGTTTCATTTTTTGGTCAATGTAGTACTACTCTCAAAATAATAGTCATCTCAATCACCACCTTAGAGAATTTAGGAACCACTTTTGAGGGTTTTTTTGTGTTCATCAAACTATTTTTGAGATTGATCAATGAAGGTTAGAGGTAGTGGTAATATTGATACTAAAATGTTTTTCCTCGTGGTCAACCCTTTAAAATATCTTGGCCAATTGTAAATGGAAACGCTCTTCACACATACACACACCGAAATGCAGGAATACATGTTACTCTCCCTCTTCTCTCTCTCAGAGAAGTTGGAAGGCAATATTTCAAGGTCTAGACCAGGGTCGGATATATGAAGTGCGGATATAAAAAAAAAATTAGGGCCTATTGAAATTCTTTAAACAAATTATAATTTGTTGCAACTTGTTCCCTATTAATTTTAATTTTTTAAAATAAGTGAAATTATCTCATACTCGCTCCGTTCCTATATATCTATCGTTTAAGGTTTTTGCACAGGGATTAAGAATGTATTAAATAACTATAATATGAGTAAAAAATAATTACACAAGACTAAAATACCCTTATTCAATACGTATTGAGAAGGAAAAGAATATGAAAAGCACTTAGTCTTCTCCTAATTTAATGCATTGAAAAGTTAAAGGTAAATTTGACAGAAAAAATATTAATTATGCTTTGGTTTCATAAAACGACAGATATTATGAAACAAAAAAAACTGTATAAAATAACAGATATTTAGAAACGGATGGAGTAAATTAAAAACTAGACTTAAATTTCTTTTGAGGCATGACTCAATCTTCGATCTCCATTTCTCTTCCTTTCCTTTTAATATTAGATTTTTGCCCATTATAAATAATATTTTAATTAAATTATTTTGATATATTAGATTTTTGACAATTTTCATGTAATCAGAATAACTCCTACATCTATATCTTTTTTATTAGATTTGTGGTCAATATTATTGAAACTAAACAAATTAATTGTTCAATTAACTATGAATATTTTTCTTAAAAGAACATCTACATTAGAACAAATAACGTTAGCATAATGTTTTAAATAATTATTAAGTTTTAGGTTGCCCCATTATGGATAAATTCTAGGTCCACTCCTGTCAGCATGCATGCAGATAGGCCTATTAACGGATTGGATTCAGACCAAATTTGGGTCCATCCGAATCCAATTAAAAAATCCGTTAATGAATCCAATCCATTTATCCGACACATAGAAAAATATTAATCCATATCTAAATTTGCTTATAATCAGACGTTCGATCTGATTACCCGATCGATCCATAAATGGTATTCTACCAAAATTTCAAAAAATATTAATCCATATCTATATATATATATATAATATTTTTTTAGCATATTTTCAGATTACGGGCATACCAAAGTCTAATTGGACTTAAGATCCATACACGTACAATTTTATTTATTCGAACTAGTCTGAGGTTCTAAAATTATGACTGTAAAACCCCAAAATCTGGGGATTTTTTCTTAACCCATGGATCATTCATCACCTTGCAGAAGTATCCCTGTGAATACCGTATAACCCAATACCACGTTATTACACTCCATTCACCAGAGTCATAACCAAAACAAAATCTTAGTAGAGTCTCCCTTGTACCGAAGCACAACCCAACACGTAACCTATTCACATATCAATCGTATGATCTTTTCAAGATCCACATCCTAGCACATAAGCTTATTATTGTCCATATACATTATCCGTAGAAGTGAGCTGAAGATGTGAAGGCCCCTCAGTGTTATATTTTCAAAATTTTCAAGTTTTGGGAAGAGGTACTGGTACCTCTAGTACATGGTATGGTATCTAAGCTCACTGTTTGATAGGTACCGGTAAAAAATTCGATTGTCTCATAATTCAATTAAAATTGACTAGGTAATTGGATTTCGTGAGATAAATCCAACAGTGAGGTCCATTTGATCACTCCGAGTTCTATAAAAATTTGGGTTTTCTATCTAATATATTCGTACCTAACGATTTTCCACAAAGTGGTGACGAAACGTATAACTTGTACCCTTACTTTAACAGCTAATAACCATTTT